CCCGAGCGGAGCCGCACGGCACGTGCAGGTCTCTTCAGGAGCGATGGGTGCTGCTGAAGGGGCTGCTTGGAGGCTCACTGAGGTCAGGGAGAGCGTGGACAAGGTTAGTTCAGCCGCAGCCGTCCAGGCAAATGGTGATGGGGGCTCTAATTGCCGCCGCAGGAGGAGCTAGAACCTGTAAGCCCTGGTGGCGAGGGAACGTAGCATAGAAAGGGCATGACTGGGGACAGGAATGCTGATCAGATACGGAGCTGATGCTGTGGCATTTCCCTGTGTCGATGGCAGGGAGCCCATCAGAAATGCGGGTGTGAGGCTGGGGGAGAGAGCAGGACTAGAGGAAAAGATGTGGGAATGAGCCCGACAGAGGCCATGGCTAAAGGCCCAGGAAGAGATCAGCCCGGAGGAAGTGGGGAAGGACAGTGAGGTGACGGGGGGGGTGCAGGGCTGGGGGCTGGTTTTGTACTGTTCTGGGCAGAAGAGACTCGAGTGCCTTTGTGGGAGTCGGGGGACGGGTTATAAAGCCACTGTGGCAATAAATAGGGAATAATGGTCGAGTCAGAATCCTAAAGAGTGGAGGGACTAACCAAGTGTAGGGGCAGAAATGCGGGGCTGGGGCTGGAGGGAGGAGGGTGACAAGGATGGAAAAGGTGATGGGGCGGCCAGGATGGTTGAGGTGGTTCGAGGCAGGGCCAGTCCGCCCATCTCAGCAAGGGGAGGGCGGGGCGGGAACCTGGCAGTCAGCAGGCCCCCTCTCGGCAGGGCGCTGGAGCCAGTCGCGGTTGCTGGAAAACGTGCTGGAAGCTACTCACTACTTTCTGCCCCTTCAGGTGCAGATGAGAAAGAAATTGGAGAAGAGAGTGAGGAAGAAAGGATTTGGAACCTGCTGAAGGAACAAAAGCACAGAGAAGAAAGAAGGAAGAGTGAGCAAGAAGCTTCAGAAAGGGAATGGAGAGAACTAGAAAAGCTGGATCAAGAAAGGGTAAGAGCTCCAAGTGTAGCTCGTGGTTGCCGCATGGCCCACCTTCAGCGAGCACCTTGCTCTCCGGGGAGCGAGTCCTTAGTGTGTCCCAGAGGCGGAGCGGCAGGTAACTTGGAAGCCCTGCCGTTCGCACCCGTGTCCGCTCCTGTGCTCGGCGCGCTGAGAAGGGCTCCGTATGCACACCGGAGGAGTCCCCGGGAAGGGGAGCTTTGCAAGCCCGTGGGCATGCGCTCTCATCTGGCCCTGAGGACACACCCGGGAAGGGGGTGGGTTCTGCTTTGCTGTAGATGTCCCCTGTGTAAGGGGTTTCCAGGTCCACTGGCTGGGACGCTAGGAACCCCGGGGAGGTGGCTGCCAGTCCACGGTGGCTTCCTCAGGTTGCCCTGCCCTCCTCCTTCCTTATTCTCTTTGGCCTTCTATGTCCTGATTCTGGTCCCAGACAGATGGGTTACTCCTCCACTTCACATGCCAGCTGGACCTTAGAAAAATTAATCTTCCGTATCCATGTTCCTGGAACACCTGGTTCATTTGGTCTAGAGCACAAGACACTTTAGACAAAGGAATCCCTTCCTTAATTGCATGACATGTTTGTCCCTCTTTGATGGTAGCAATGACTTCAAAGAAAAAAAATGATTTTCTGGCATGCATGTTTTACTTGAAGGATCAGAGTTATAGTACTATGTGTTTTAAAAATATTTGTGTATTCCCTATTTTGGTGGCCATCTACTTGACAGCGATTGATTAAAGAGTCTTTGAAGACTGAGATGGAGAAAGAAGTGAGTGTTCAAGAAATGGAAGACAAATCTGTTTGTGGAGAAAATCCTTTGGAGAAGTACATGAAAATCATCCAGGAGGACCGAGACCTGAAGATGGCAGATAAGGTGCTGATGCTGTGGACCAGCTGTCTGTGGGTGGGGGGCACACGGGCTCCTCTGGTTTGTTAGAAAACCTCTGGACAGGAGCCCGCCTTCTCCATTGGAATCAAAAAAGTAAAAGCAGAGGAAATCCGAAATTCAAATGGATCCTTGAGTCTTTTAAGTATATTACATCCTTGACAAAATTTTATTGCTTTTGCTTGGGTAAAAGATTGAACAGATCTTGATTTGTCAAAGTTTGTAAAGGTTCCGATGTCTCATTTTCAGAACAAGAATGAAATGTAATGAAAGTCCTATAAATGAATAACATATGTATTGGCACTGTCTGAGACATTAGTATGTTACCTAGGTCTGGAATACTACTGCTGCTGAGAATGCACAGGGGATCCTTTGATGTACTTGCTAAATTTCATGTTTAAGAGTCACCTCCTTTTTGGACTCTTAAGTTATATATGTATATTTCGAAAAGTTCTCAGAGAAATCAATAATATTAATATCTAATTTCAAAATCATTCTTCCCCCTCTGTATCAGAGCTCAGTGAAGAGTGTCAGAGAAGGTTCACAAGTGGACACGCTGCCCTCTAGTGACAAAGATGAAAGGTATGCTGTGTTCTTACGGAAACCATTATCATATTGCTGGCTTTGTGGGCAACGTGTTGGAGTCTGCCTGTAAGAAATTATCGAATTAATCAAAATTACCGACTTCAAAACAAATCTGTTGCATTTTGAAGTTGATACTGCTCCTGATACAAACTGTAAGCGAGGGCAGAAACCCCAGAGGGAAGGAATGACATTAGAAAGGTCCCCGAATAAACTGGACAAGAATTTAACACATTTTTAAAATTTTTGTCTTTCCTTAATTTAGTTTCCCAGGCCTTTCTCATGAAGAACCAGATGATTTTTGGTAACCACGTATGCTGCCAGCTTCTTTCTCATGTAACACAATGAAAGGCCTCTGCGTTCTCTGTAATAAGACAGAATTTTCAATAAAGGTTGTTTGTTTAATCCAGCGTGCTTTTTTTCATCATTTTATATGGTACTCTAGTGTGTAAGCCAAAAGTAATCTAGTCAAGTGACACCTTTTCAGAATTTCTCATTCTTAGGCCTTCCATTACATTAGAATGAGCTGCTATGGGGTTTCCCCCCTATTTTTATGATAGATTATATTTCTTTGAAAACTTATTTGTCAAATTCTAGTCCTGCATTTTGGAAGTTTATTCTGTGTTCTTTGCTCTCCAGAGTTGGGCTACCACCTGTCAGACAAGAGGCCACCTTCCCCAACTCTGTCTTTCTGATTTGTCCCTCAAAATAAAGACACAGGTTTTTCTATTCTAGGCTCTAGAAATAATACAGTATCACCACTGGTCTTTACTTCTGACATCTTTATCTTGAGACTCAACCCAAATCCTTACATGGTAAGAAGAGAAGGTAACATTTACTGGGCACTTACTGTGTGCCAGGTGTACTTTTAAACTTGTACCTGTATTTACTCAATGCCCATATCAGCCATATGAAGTGTAGGTGCTGTGACTACCCACCTTTTACGGATTGGGAAACTCGGGGCACAGAGAGCTTAGAGACTTGACCAGGATCTTGTGACTGTCCCATTGTGCAGCCAGGAGACCCAGGTGTTGAGACCAGCACTGCCTCTAGCCTGGGCTGTGCTGGAGCTGCTCCGGTGGAAGACACCCCAAGACTTAGAATGGCTCACCCATGGATGCTCCTCTCCAGAATGACCTTTAGAAACTACACATCAGCCAAGTCAAGGTGACCACATTCGAATGCAGCACCAGCACAACTTCCATGCAGGTAAGAGGAGGCCCGTTGGCTCACCCCCTTCATCTTTGCACACCTGCAGCTCTCAGTCGAGCATCTTGCTGTGGGAGCATCTCGGGAAAGTTCTTTAACGACACTGCCACTACGGTCGCCGAAAGTGCACCCAGGACTGCTCTGAGGGTAAGCCACCATCCCGGTTGGCCTGGACTGGGAGGTTTCCCAGGATCTGAGACTTTCGGTGCTAACTGATGGCCACCCAGCTCCTAACAGGAAGGGTTTGTCTTGTCCGTCTATCCAAGAAAACCCTAGAACCGATCATTTTCCATTACAAATACAAGCTGAGCTGAGTTGTTTCGGCCAGTGATACTTGCCTGGCCCTTGCGTTTGATAACGGGGTGTCTTTCAAACCTTTGTGACTGTCCAAGCCTCCTGCTTTGTTCTGGGTGCTGCTCAGTAGTTGAGGGTGTGTCTAGACTGGTCAGTGTCGCAATGGGGACGATCACAGTGAGCACCTAGGTGCAATTTGATTGGAAGCCAGACTCGGACAGCAACTGGGCAAGTGCCTGCAATAGTCCACTGTATCCATTGTTTGGCTTTCTGCAGATTGTTACCCATGGTCTGAAAATATTAAATGGGAAATTCCAGAAATAAACAATTCATAAGTTTTAAGTTGCCCATTCTGAGTAATGTGACGAAATCTCACGCCACCTCGCCTGGGATGCGAGTCCGTCCTTTGTGCAGCGTGTCTGTGCTGTGTGCACAGCGGCCGGTTAGTCACGTAGCAGCCATCTCGGCTATCAGCTCCCCGTCATGGTGTAGCAGTGCTTGTGTTCACGTCGCCCTTATTTTACTTAATAATGACCTTGCAGCCCTTCACGTAACTTTTATGACAGTGTGTTATAATTGTTCTACTTTATTAGCCACTGTTAATGTCTTGTTGCTCCTAATTTGTAAATGAAGCTGTCTCCTCGGTACGTATACGCAGGAAAAGCATGGAAGGTTTGGCGCCGTGGCTCCGGCGTCCCGAGGGCCTCGGAGCGCCCGCCCGCGTGCCAGTGGACTTGTGCAGTGGCCCGGGCCAAGCTGGGGGGGCGCGTCGCTGCCCCCTCTGCCCTGGCCTGGGCGGCGGCCGCGTGCTCGTTCCTGGTGAGAAGGGCTGTGTGCGCTAGCCCTGCGGGCCTTGTGAACGTGAGGCTGCTGGCGATCGGAGCGGGTGGGCAGGCGGCCTTGGCTCTGCGGCCGCTAGAGGGCGGCTGT